CCCATGCACTCTCTAACTCTGCTCAGACTGTGGGCTTGGACTTCCATGCTCACGGTATTGAGATGGTACAGAAAAGGGAAGACGGTACAGTATTCAACTGAGAAGCGACTGCTCCAACCCCAACCCACTGCCATCCAGTCGATGCCAGCTCAGAACAACCCTGGGAAGGGTTTCTCAGGCTGTACATTTTTATAGGCGCAGACAGCCTCATCATCCTCCCATGGAGGGGCTGGTGGGTTTGAAAGGACGACCTTGTGGTTGGCAGTTCACTGCTTACCCGTCAGTGCCACCAGGGCTCCTTTCAGGAGCCAAACGGTGATTAAAAATGTTCCCAGTGTGGTTAGTTAGAAGGTTACTTGGGTACTACATAATTGTGACACACACGTGACGTGTATGTATTAAAATCGACATGTTCTTGTCACACTGTGGAACTGCTGACTCCGGAAGAGCCTGCCTCAGGAGTGCTGGTGGCAAGACGGGACACTGTTTAATCACTCTGTGTCTCCGCAGGGCTCTGCAGAGCGCAGTGAAGGTACTACGGAGACATAATGTGACCCCATGCAAGTCAGTACGATCGCGGTAATTTCCACCCAGGAGTGTGACCCTGAAGGAAACACACTCTGTCTAGATCCTTGGTATTCAGATCACCCACCTTCTGGGCATTACATACCAGCAGCTCCCTCTCTCCCTGATAGGGTAAAATAAACAAAAGTTCTTCTGAAAATGACAGCTGTGTTTTCCAGTTGTAAAAGCAATGCGTGTCCCAGGGAGCACTTGAGCAAACACCCACAGGGCAGCCAGGGTCCCACCCTCGGAGATGTCCACACTAGCACTGCCAGATGCAGGCCTGCAGGGCCTCCTTTATGAATCTATCCACCAGGGAGTCCCGGTGCACAGTGGACAAGTGCTTAGTTGCTATCTCTGAGGTTGGTGGTTCAAACACAACAACTGCTTCATGGGCGAGAAAGATGTGCCCGTCTCTCCCGTATAGACTCCAATCAAAACCCCAAGCCCATTGCCATGGGGTGATTCATCCCCATAGGAGCTCTTTGGGATGTAGAAGAACTTCCCTAGAGGGTCTTTAAGGCTGTTACCAGACTTTGGACATGTTGCCGGCTAGAGTAGCGAGTTGGCACGGAAGAGGAAGACCCTCCGGGAGACGGTCTGGAGTGGCAGCTGGTAATTGTGCGGATGGTGCATGACGGGCAAGGCCTTCTTCTCTGTGGGAACAGGCTGGGTGGCACCTCACATTGACAACCACCTTTACAGAAGCAGACTGCCACACGCTGCTTCCGCAGGTGGCTGGGTTGGCACTGCCCACAGTTTGCAGCTGAAGACCTAACCACTGCGCCACCAGGGCAGCTTCCACAAAGACTGTTGTGACGAGGTGCTGTTCCGTTGGCCCCGACTCTGAGACTGCAACACTGCCTGGTCCCGCGCCATCCTCCAAGTGTTTATGTTTGCGCCCCTTGTGTCAATCCATCTCTTCGAGGGCTTCCTCTTTCTCCAGCATCCTCCCCTTTCTAAGCATGATGTCCTTCTCCAAGGTCTGGTCTCTCCTGACCACATGTCCCAAGTATGTGACATTGGTGATGAATCTGGTAAAACTAAATCCTTGCCAATGTCAACATTTTTTCTTCCTTTTTTGGTGGTCTCGCTCATTGGTCCAGTTGTGAGGGTGTTTTGATGTCTTTATGCTGAAGCTCTACACTGAAGCTAACAGACCATATATACTCCAGTATAAGCTGACTCGAATATCAGCCGAGGCACCGAATTTTACCACAAAAACTGCATTAAAAATGTGCTTGAAAACTTGGCTTCTACACGAGTACATACGGCAGTCTTTGATCATCAGTAAGTGCTTCAAGCCTTGACTTTCAGCAAGCAGCAAGGCTGTGTCCTGCAGTCCAGCTTCTCGGATGACTTGCTCAGCACACAGACTGACCGACTACAATGAAAGGACACAACCCTGCGGGCACACCTTTCCTGGCCGTCAACCACACAGCACCCACTTGTTCTGCTGCAACAACTCACTCTCGGTCTGTTTATAGGTTCCACAAATGCACAGCCAAGTATTTGGACTTCCCATTCTTCCCAATATTATTCGTCATGTGTTATGAGTCACGTGGTCAAACACCTTGCATCTTGTTGCTGTTAGGTACCATCACGTTGGCTCCTACTCATAGCACCCTTATGTGCAACAGAACGCAACACTGTCTCATCCTGCACCACCCTCATCACTGTTGCATCTTTGAGCCCATGGTTACAGTCACCATGCTAATCCATCCTCATTGAGGGGCTTCCTCTTTTCCGAGGACCCTCTACGTTACCAAGCATGATGTCCTTTTTCTAGGACTGGTCTCTCCTGATAACACGTCCACAGTATGTGAGATGAAGGCTCGCCATCCTGGCCTTTGAGGAAGAGTTTAGCTGTATTTCTTTGGCCTGGCAGTCCGTGGTCCTCTCAAGATTCTCATGCGTAGTCAGTAAAAGCAAGTAAGGATCTTTCTGATAGTCTCTGCTTTCAATCAAGATTCGTCTGCCATCAGCAATGATACTCCCCATCCGCAAAGATTCCAGCACAGGAAAGCCACATGGGCAGCTCTACTCTGTCTCACAGGGTCACTGTGAGTTGGCATTGACTTAATGACAATGGGCTATCTACCTACCTACCTACCTACCTACGTACCTATACCTTATATATCACACTGTCTATACGGTTTTATAGTTTCTTCTTCACTTAGCAAGACATGACAAAGGTTTTAAAGTCTGCACACAGTACAGGTTACACTGCTTCAATCGAGTCTCTGTTGGTCAGGGTTTCAAGCCCTTCCCTTTCTTGCTTGCTCTTCGGGCAGTCCACAGTTTGCTCAATCTTCTTCTTTTCTTATATAAATGTGGTGGTGAGCCCTGTGCCTACCCTGTGAACAGTTCCTTAAGGCAAATTCCTAAAGGTGGAATTACTGGATCAAACAACACACATTTTTAAGGCTTCTACATACATTTTGCCCAACGTTCTCCAGAAAGCGGATTTCAAGCCTGCTTTCCTCTTAGCAGTGGGTCAGGGGGCAGTTGCTCAGGAAAACGAACACCCAAGTTCAGATCCCAGCTGTTGGCCCATTTCTCTGCCTTCCCGCTTTCCTGAGCTGTCATACCAAAGGAATTGAAAACAATTTTCAAGTAAGCTTAAGCACAAAGTAATTAGGGGGGTAAATCTGCCACAAATGCTCGTGCATCCTAAAGCCAAAATAAATGACGGTGGGATTAACATTTTTGGGGGGGCGTAGTGAAGTTATTCATTTTCATCTGTACAGGGACTTAGGAATTATCCACAACTCCTGAGTTCTTCCTCTACCCTCTTGAAGAGAGAGAGAAAGAGAGAGAGAGATGCCGGGGGCTTAAGTGGAGAGCAAACGTTTTGAGAATGATGAGGGCAAGGAATGTACAAATGTGCTTTACACAATTGATGTATGTATGGAATGTGATAAGACTTGTATGATTAAAAGCGATTAAAAAAAAGAAAATACCATGCACAGACTGCCAAAAGGACAACCAAATGTGTAAAAAAATAAAATAAATAAAACAAAAGAGAGAGAAACAAAAACAAAGAAAACGAAGAAACAAAGCTGGCACTCTTCATTCCCACCTCGCATGTGATGACCGGAGCCCTGGGGGCGCAGTGGGGAAGTGTCAGGCCTGAACTCACCACTGCTCCATGGGAGAAAGAGAAATGACAGCCTTGGGCCCCCATGGGGCAGGTTCTGCTCTTTCCTGGAGGTAGCTATGAGTCGGAATCGATTGAACAACAGATTTATAGCAACAAAGAGTAAGTTACTCAGCTCCCAAGAAGTACCAACCGGCTCCCTGGTTTCTGTGGGAATTCGTCTGCAGCAGAGTGAATCCACTCCTGCACTTTACCAACCACTGCCTCGGAGCGGCTTCCGACTCACCGCGAGCCCACAGGACAGAGGAGGGCTGTTTCATTGTTTCCAAGGCTGAAGCAAGACTGCCACATCTGACCGCCACACCTGTGTCCCATGGAGCAGCTGGTGGGTTTGAACCACTGACCTTTGGGCTAGCAGCCTAACACTGAGTTCACTGCACTCCCAGGGCTACTTAACTCCTATATGTTATAAGCCCTCCCAAAAAAAAGGAAACCATTGAAAATCTGTTTGGGAAAATCTGATCTTGCTTCTTCACGGAAATCACAGTTCCCATGTTGGTGGCGTTACACTTATCCAATGAGAACCTGCTGCGGTGCTCGGGGCTAGAGAGCAGGAGAGATTTCAAATACAGATCGCGCTCACCGCTCTTTCAGGGCCTGCATGAGAAAGCTGCACAAAGAGCTGTATCTCTCCGATCATCAGGAAGACCAAGCCTGCAGCCATCGAGCCAATCCTGACACATGGCGCCCTCTACAGGGTGTCCAAGGCTATCAATCTTTATGGGAGCAGACAGTCTCGACTTTCTCCCATGGAGCCACTGGTGGATTGGAACCTCTGACCTTGTGGTTGGTTAACAGTCCAACGCTTACCTGACAGGGCCACTAGTGCTGTAATACTGTGCTTGTTTGTAAAAATCAAGGAAGAGAGATATGACAAAATAATAATTTATAAATTATCAAGGGTTCATGAG